TACCCGAACAACTAGAAGACAGCTATTAATGTAGTCCGTCTAGGTTTCCCAGCGACACATCGGCCATTGTTTTGACACGGCAATATGTACTTTCCTATTAAATGTGATGCCCGCTATTGTAGTGGAATAAATTAATTATTGTTGTGGTCCTTCATCCGTCTTCATTTCCATTGTCACCAAGGTAATCTCTGAGGTGTTAACCTTTCGTCAAACGCGTTTCTATTTTTCTATGACATTATGGCTTGTTTCTCTATAGGATTTGGCCGTTTATGAGTCCTAGGGCGATATTTGTACACTCCTATAGTTAACGTGGTAAAATAACTTCCCATTACTTAGCCCTGGTGTCAAACTTCACAGATTGATAAAGACTAGCTGAACTTCAAAGTCTTTATTAGGCTTTATTTACAGGCCTTACATGAGGGTCTTACAGATTCAATGATGAATTAACCGGCCTTAGTTTCTTTCTGATCTCAAACACACACGCTCTAGAAAGTGTTCATGAATGCCTCAATGCGATTTATTAGTTCTGAGAAAAGCAAATTTCCTCCTCTACATCTGGATTCACCCATAACCACAAAATGCCAAATATGCTACAAGTATATTTCACGTTTCTCAGTCAACTGGCTCTGACTCGATTCGCGGTTAACACTTAAAAACAAGAATATAGAATTATAAACAAAGCCATACCTTGAACTCAGGATAGATAAAACAAGGGCAGTATATGAAAAAGGAAAGATCTATACGGAGAACCAGTACAAATTACAAAGAGGGTAACACCATGTGTGTTCGGGAGGGAAATCGTCGTCTGCTTCATCGATTACTTCTGCCATGTAATTTTAGGTCAAATCAAAATTCATAGCGCGCCCTCAAAGCAAAAACTTGTGTTATGACAACAAAACGACAAGGCAGATTAAAAATAGACCTTGATACATGCCTAGGGGTGTAGGATAGGAAAAATTACGTTCAATGTGTAAGTGGTGATATAAAAAAATAAGTTTATACTAAATAAATGAAATTAATCGTTAAAATACTGCTATTACAAATAATGTTATAAAGTGTCTAATTATAAGTATAAACTATAAGAAATAAAAAAAAACATGCTTTAATTAGTCCTGTGAACAGTTTTGTGATGATAATGGATATGTAGATATTTGTTGTATCGCGCTGGTAGAGGTTAAGGTAATGAGATATCGTCAGAATTTTGTAATTCCCTTTTAATTAAGAGCGATTCTTTTTTTCTCTCTGTTGTGTCAATTTTACCGTTTCTGTTGGGGTGTTAATATGGAATAAGATTAGAGACCCTACCTCTATTTAATGTCTAATAGAGGAATTGAACTCCGGCCTCCTGGTGAAGGCCAGTGTGCTATTCATTGTACCACCTGACCATTCAAAGCGACCGAGACACAAACTTATAGATCGGAGCGGCATATCAATTTTAAGCTTATGGACTGCATCATTTGAATAAATCATTCTTCCATACGACTATGTAACTATGACATTCATTCCGATAACGCGATAAAAATAAAATGAAAATAAATAATGATATACCCTCTCCCATTACCCCTTAACGATGTTTGCATCTTGTCGTTAGCTGTGCCGCCTCAATGAGATGTAGGGTATTACGGGGGACCAATTTGCGAGTGAATGACTACCTTTGACGCCCCCTTTGAATTAAATTTGCTCCAATCTACCTTTTTACGTTGCTGATAGGTTTTGAAGGTCGCTTGTCTTGCAGGTATAGTTTTTACGTTGATGATTATCTTTAAAGGTTGACTGTCTTATAGGTTGTACGAAACAGTTGCATTTGCATGCGTGCGCCATATATTGACACCCTCGTACCACAGAGAAAATAGCTCTAATTTCTTTCGTTAATCCAGCCGTAATTTATTTCTTGTCTAATTCAAATGTATTATAAACACAGATGTTGCAGAAACATTCCTGTTGATTTTGGAATTTATGCGATATAATTATACAACTATAAGTGAGTCAAATCGTTAAGTTGTGATTTTGGTTTGGTTTGGTTTAATTTGTTAAACGTCCTATTAACAGCTAAGGTCATTTAAGGACGTGCCTCCATGTGTGTAGTGTATGCGTGCCTGCGTATGTGTATGCAGGAGACAGGGTATGTTGGTGTTCTTGCCTCCTTGTGATAGCGCAGATCTGATGCCGACTTTATAGTGCTATCTCACTGAAATGCCATGCCGAAGGCACCCAGCAAAGCATTCCGCCCGATCTCATTACACGGACAACGGGTGAACCAGTTGTTGCCATTCCCCTAAATGTTGAACGTTAAGCAGGGAATAACAGCTACCATTGTTAAGGACTTTGGTATGTCCCGGCCTGGGGACAGAACCCATTGCCCTCCTCACCTGGGCGAAAGCTCAGCATGAAGGCCAAAGAAAGAAAGATAAAGATCCCAAGTATTGCAATTGAAGCAGATTTACTTTGGTCGCTTTTGTGTCCCAAAAAAGAGGAGAGCAAAGCAAATCCCCAATTTTGCAGGGGGTTTCTTTCCGCATCAGTCGCCTCTTACGATACATGCAGTGGGCAACAGCAGGTGTATTCTTTTCCCGATCCCCCACCTACAGGGATTCGTAAAGTTGTGACAGTCATTAGACTCTTATTTCGATAAATATACAACTATAAGGCATTTACACTCTATAACCGTTTCAAATTTAGATTGAATTCATATCAGCAATGAATGCCCGGAACAACTTGTTCACGTCATCATTGTAACGGTTGAAACCGTTCTAACGGACAATATTGCAACTCAGGATTTCCTGAGATACAATTTGACGAAGACTACTGTAAGTGTTATGGTCGCAATCATGTTTTTATCAACACAGTAACCTTAGCGATGATTTTGATAATGCTCATTAGTGTGTCCTTGTTGTTTTGTTGTCACTTCCCCTGTTCTCGCTTTGAGGACGTGAAATTACTCGGATTTTACCTTAGTATCACACAACGTTGAAGATGCAGAAGACCATTATTCTTCCGATGATCTTTCTAGCAGCACTTCATGTGTTCATATTTTGACTTCGTCTGTTTTTTCAGTTCGAACTAATGTTTACTTTTCAATTGCTTTTTCTTGCTGTTTTTCTGTATATGAGAGTCATGCGCGTTCTTTGTAAGATGACATATGTAACAGTAATAAATTATCAGTACTACCGCCTGACATAACATTTAAGGTATACATAACGAAAAAACATTCATTTTGGCGATTCTTTCAAAATATTTGAAGCTATAGGGAAATACCTCATCCTGACAATGTCTCATTCTGCCATTACCTGTTTGCAATACAACTGCACTGGGTTATTGTGCAAACGAAACTTAGACAGCTAAAAATACAGAAGAAAACGGTACAAATTATTCTCAAAAAATCATTAGTAATCTTAGCTACTTTTTTAAAACTACAATGGCCAGAACTTAATAAGAGGTTGTTGTACCACAATGCTATTCTGATTTACGAATCCACTAATGAATTAACCCCTAAATACCTCCAGGATATATTTGTCCAACCTCCAATAAATTATGCCTTACATTCTACGATAGATGGTGATTTCATTTAACTCGCACCACAGATAGGCTTTCAAACGTCTTGTATCAGTAAGTGTCAGGGATTGCATGTACAAGTTAAATCTTCTGACATTCTGCATGCTTTTAAGTCAAAATGCTTCAAGTACTATCGGAATCAGATATGTAGGATAATTTAAGATGGCATCACATGTACGAACATTTTTGTATATTTTAACAATATTCTTCTCAAATATATATAAAAGCTATAATTACATTATTGTACTATAACCATTTATTTCTGCATTGCTTAAATGATTTATAATTACAATTTGTATAGTATTACGATGCACGTGTCCATTAAAGGGGGGGGGGGGCATTTTCAGTCTTCGCTGACATGCTCTCATTAACCATTTCCCCTGCTGACTGGAGTAATTCGCCCTATAACCTGACCATGGCTTCGCCATTTATTGAATATTCAGACATTTCCGTGTGTGGCAATGTTCTCGCTGTAACTCTTTAAACTAGTCGGGAGTGAACATTTTCACTTTGACAATGTAGTTTTGTTATATCTATATATATTTATAGTCTATCAGAAATAAACATTCAAAGTCCTTGTGATGGTTAAATATAGAAAAAACAAAAATGCAAAGAGTGTCTTAGTACCTCCCTAGCGCTTTTAGATATTAGTGCCAGATTACACAATGTCTGTATAGCTATAATATATAATTAAATTTTCGCACGTGGATACTTTCCACTTATTTAATCAATGCGAAAAACGGGAGTCATTCTATATCGTAAACATGTCCTCTTACAGTATCCACCTGTTCAACTCGTGTTATCACTACTTAACCATCAATCAAGTGAACATTGTGGTACGGCAAAGGTCGATGTTACTGCTATTCCGTCGTATCGTTTTGCAGAGTTATCTGCTCTTGTTAGCAGGTATTGATTGTTACGTCATTAGTTTGTGTGAGAAAATTACGTCATTTTCTCAAAAATGTATGATGTTACTCTCACAAACAAATGACGTAACAATCAATACCTGCATACAAGAGCAGATAACTCTGCAACACGATATATGTATAACTCTATGAGCTATGTCTGCAACGGCGAGTGCAGACCAAAAGTACGTAACACAAGTCCGTATATCGGCTTGACAAAATGTAGATTACCACGAGTGTCGGTACGCACTGCAGCACATCACCTTTAATGCAAATCGACGTATGTGAATCGCTGAACACACTAAGTCAGCGCCGTTACTAAGTGTACATTCACAGCAATATGCGTATGTCGAGTCGATAAGTTCATTGTGTATTCTGGCACTAATATTTAAATATGCTTGCACACTTTGTGCACCCAAAGTGAAGAGTGTGAACAAAAGCGCTTTAAATATTTCATAGAGTGAAATATTGACAAAAATTGTCATTGCCAAACCCCAAATAAACAAATGAATTGATAAATGTCATATCAATTTGTATCGACAGAGTCTTTTGGTAAACCAGGAACTTAAACGTCAGATGCTACAGAACTGGCAGTCCGAAAAAGAATCTTCAGACACTGATGGTCCATATGCACGATCTGGATTGAAGCGACTTCTGGCACAAAGGCGATTGGCTGAACAGCAAAAACGATCAGGCAGAGGTAAGCATGCCCCTGGGAATCTCTGTAATGTAGTGGAATCTGAAAACATTGGAGCACATGAACAAGAAAAAAGAGTTGAGGAACTGAGTTATTTTTGAACGTTGCCATTAAGGGTTCTGTTAATTCATTTAATCGGTCTATTGTCACCATACTTAATTGTAACGAGGAAAGAGATGAAATCAGTCTGGGTAAATACATGTACATATGGTGTTAATATGATAAAAACACGTCGAGTTATTAATAGAGATATTAAAGTAAAAGAATTATCATTTATATATAATTTCGTATTTGTAGATTTATGAATATCATCATCAATGCATTCAGCATTCAATTATGTTTTGATATTGGATCGTGGAGGGCAATGGATATAACGTTATTGGTCCATACCAACAGGGATTACATTGTGACAGATATTACTGGTTACTATGGGGATATTATATCAATTCAATATTCCATAGGAAAAAATGCAACGATTAAAAATATCCGAACTATTTATCGTTCCAGTAGTGCGGTTGTTTGATAATCTTGATATTAAGATGATACTCTGAAATGATCAAGTCAGAAGGATTTTTAAATTTAGTAGTATCCAACAAGTCTCGATTTGAAAATACAGATGTTAATATTAAGTAAGTCGACAAGGCTACATACACTACCTGTAACGTAAATGACAGTTAGCAAGTGTATCACGTATAGTGAACAACGATCGGTGATGAAAACAGATGGTCTTAGACAGCCTCTAAATGTGATGACCTAACATACGTTATTGTTTTGCAGGCGGTGTTGCACTCTGTTTATGGAAGGTATGCCCAGCAGGTCCTTGGCTGGTATCACAGAAGTAAGACGCATTGCTAAGCAACCGACGACACATGACGGAATGTGACGTAACTTCATCCAGAAATTCAAATGAAAATCAGCGCTTGACCATACTTTTTTATCCATTGTATTCGGTGACCTGAATGATAATGAATGATTCAATTATACAAAGAACATCAGTTTTGCAGAAAACAATGTGATACACCTAACCGATCTTGATGTGAATGAACAGAAATAGGAAAACAATATATCTTTCGTACAAGCATCCATTTATCAAGAGAGAGAAATAAAACTTTATCATTATAAGACGGAATTGTTGTCTTTGTATGTTGTATAGTGTTTACTTATGCGTGCAACGTAACTGACTCTAACCCTACCAAATAGAGAGGGACCTGGAGGCGACGCGGTGATCAGCTTGTCCTGCATCGCACGTGACGGCCATCATGGTGTATCAGCATTATAATCGAGGTATAAACTGAGACATCACATTCGAAAGACACATAGCTAGTGTAGCGACCCTTCAAGTTCGTCAACATAAGTGACAATCGTTAGGATTAATAGAATCAATCCCTGGTGTAAAGTTAGATAAGGTCATTCAAACCCAAGGGAGAAAATATTGAGCAGGAGACCTGATGCTTTGATCGTATTTCTTGCGTATAACCTTAAAAACCCGTAAAACAGCTGCTCTTCTAGTAAAGTTGTAAACTGTCCGCACAATTCTTATTTGCATATGAAGCCCGGTAGGCAATTGTAAATGACCTCAATGACCCTGCCTGAACCCAAAAGGTCACTATAATTCCCCCGCCAGTCTACGCGTGTTAGCGATCCAGACTCGTGGGTCGGACAGAATTTTCACCGACGTAAATGAGGATATATCGGTCTAGTATGCAAGAAAAACAACAACATGACTGAGTAATCATTGATCAGCATAACGATGCATCTAATGATAAAAAGCCAAGAACCAGTAAATCTTAACAGGAGTCGAAAGGGCTTGTATGTTACTACTTGTTACTACATGGGAAAGGACATCACTCATTTTTACATAGCATACACCTTTTATGACACCTATTTAAGCTAATAATGGATAGCAAACGATGTCAAACAATGAACTACACCTCGACATACAGCTGTTGTTACCTGGCATGACTAATCCCACCCCCACACTCCCACACACACCCACACACCTATGGCCACCCACACACCAACACACACACAATCGATGCACAAGGAGCCAGGAGCTACTAATCAAAAGAGATGGTTGTGTCTATCGATATTAATATAGATCTATATGCAACCGCAATTCAGACGTTCAGGATTGAGTGAAATAGAAACATTTTATAAAAAAGAAATGAAAAAGAAAAAGAAATCGTTGCAAATTCGGGATAACCGGGGCCCCGGATTATAAATGGAACGAAATGATATGGGTTAAATAGTTCAATACTTAATTTCTTCATTAGTTATTTTGTAAAATCCGCACCACAACAAAACATAAACAGTCTAGAAGTGTACTTTAACACGGGACGTAGGAGATCAAGCTGGAGATTCTAATACCATCCCCAGCATGACGAGGAGTAGCGTCGGTTTTAACAGCATATTTACGTTGGTTTACCAATATTGGCAAAGCATCAGAGGAACAGATATGAGGATTAAAAATCAATAGTCTAGAACGACGTTAGAAACTGTCACAAAAATATCAGCCCGTCTATCAAAAATGAATGACATCAAATTAAAGATTACTTTGTCATCGACTGGCGATCGAAAAAGCTAGTTTGCCCTGATCTAGCCTATTACGTTACATACAAAATATTGCCGCTTTAAATTTCACTTCATTCTTTCGAAGATCACAAAGATGGTATTCCAGTGATGGAAAATATAATTATATACTATTTTCTGTAGATAAATATAACCTAAGTTAAGGCATTTAAAAACATTGTTTGGCAGAGAAAAAAGGACAGACACGCATTATAACGCTTCTTCATTCCAGATTTTTTCATATACATGTTGGACATTGCCAAAACCAGTGGTTGCTCTTTGATCATCACAGCGACATAGCACACTGTATCATATGAAACGCAGAGGTTTAGTGGGAGTTGTCTACACTGCACTATCAATATTGAATATGTCTGTGAATATTCTGTCACGAGCTCGAGAAATAAGATACAATAGATTCGGTTTTATATTCGGGGAAGTAGATATATTCTGTCTAATACCCGGAAAAGTAGATATATTCTGTCTAATACCCAGAAAAGTAGATATAGTAGATATATTCTGCTTCATACTTGGAAAAGAAGATATATTCTGTCTTATACCCGGAGAAATTTATATATTCTGTCTAATACCCGGAGAAGTAGATATATATTGTCTAATACCCTGAAAAGTAGATATATTTTGTCTAATATCCGGAAAAGTAGATATATTTTCTCTAATACCCTGAAAAGTAGATATATTGTGTCTAATACTTAGGAAAGTAGATATAAATATTCTGCTTCATACTTAGGAAAGTAGATATATTCTTTCTAATACCCGGAAAAGTAGATATATTTTGTCTGATACTCGGAAAAGTAGATATCTTTTGTCTCAAACTAAGGAAAGTAGATATATATATTCTGCTTCATACTGAGAAATATTTTTTTTCGGTCTCATATTCGGGAAAGAAGATTTATTCTGTCTAATACCCGGAAAAGTAGATATATTCTGTCCAATACCCGGGAAAGAAGGTTTATTTTGTCTCATACTCGGAAAAGAAGAGATATATTCTGTTATACCCGGAATAGTAGATATATTTTGTCTAATACTTGGGAAAGTAGACATATTCTGTCTAATATCCGGAAAAGTAGATATATTTTCTCTAATACCCTGAAAAGTAGATATATTGTGTCTAATACTTAGGAAAGTAGATATAAATATTCTGCTTCATACTTAGGAAAGTAGATATATTCTGTCTAATACCCGGAAAAGTAGATATATTTTGTCTGATACGCGGAAAAGTAGATATCTTTTGTCTCAAACTAAGGAAAGTAGATATATATATTCTGCTTCATACTGAGAAAAATATTTATTTTCGGTCTCATATTCGGGAAAGAAGATTTATTCTGTCTAATACCCGGAAACGTAGATATATTCTGTCCAATACCCGGGAAAGAAGATTTATTTTGTCTAATACTCGGAAAAGAAGAGATATATTCTGTTATACCCGGAATAGTAGATATATTTTGTCTAATACCCGGACAAGTAGATATATTCTGTCTTATACCCGGAAAAGTAGATATATTCTGTCTAATACCCTGAAAAGTATATATATATTGTCTAATACCCGAAAAAGTAGATATATTTTGTCTAATACCCGGAAAATTAAATATATTCTGTCTAATACCCGGAAAAGTAGATCTATTCTGTCTAATACCCGGAAAAGTAGATATATTTCGTCTAATACCAGGAAAATTAAATATTCTGTCTAATACCCGGAAAAGTAGATATATTCTGTCTAATACCCAGAAAAGTAGATTTATTTTGTCTTTTACCCAGAAAAGTAAATATATTTTGTCTCATTCTTAGGGAAGTAGATATATACATTCTGCTTCATACTGAGGTAAGTAGATACATTTATATTCTGCTTCATACTTGGGAAAGTAGATATATTCGGTATCATACTCGGGAAAGTAAATGTATTCTGTTTCATACTCTGTAAATTAGTATATTCTGTCTGATTTAGACTATCTTGAAATTGTAAACAAAATTATTTTAGACGTTAAAACCCAATATGCTCTTCCAGTGTATAATCCACACAATATATCCAATATTCTGGACTCTGAGATCCAATTCGTTATAGATGATCAGCTGTTTTTAGAAACGTTATTAATAGAAATTAGAGGGAAAACTATTTCATATGCTTCACATAAGAAAAAACAACAGAACCATTTAGAAAACAATTTAAAAGATATTATAAAACATTTAGAATCGGTTGAAAATATTGATTTTGATAAATTAAAGGAGAAAAAACAAGAATTAGAAAATATAAGATTACATAAAATAAGAGGAAGCATTATTAGATCTAAAGCTAAATGGGTTGAAGAGTGAGAAAAGCCAACTAACTACTTTTTTAATCTCGAAAACAGAAATTATACCTCAAAAATAATTCCAAAAATAGAAAAAGAAAATGGGGATATAATAACTAATCAAAATGAGATACTTAAAGAAGTTAAATTATTTTATGAGTCTTTATATACCAATGATGATAATATAGATGATGTTAGTTTAGACAACTTCTTACAAGACTTTCATGTTCCTAAACTGAATAATATAGAATCTGATAGTTTAGAGGGCATTATAACTCTTAAAGAAGCATCACATACATTAAATAATATGAAAAATGGGAAAAGCCCTGGTTCTGATGGTTTTACGGTTGAATTTTTAAAATGTTTCTGGAAACAGCTGAATAACTTTATAGTGAGATCAATCAATTTTGGTTACGCTAATGGACAATTGTCAGTTACACAAAGACAGGGAATAATAACATGTATACCTAAAGGGGATAAACCAAGACAGTTTCTAAAAAATTGGCGACCAATTTCTCTTCTGAATATTATATATAAAATTGCATCGGGGTCAATAGCAGGGAGAATAAAAACAGTCTTAAATAGTATAATAAACACAGATCAAACAGGTTTTATTTCGGGTCGTTATGTTGGGGAGAATACTAGGTTAATTTATGATGTCATGCAATATACAGATGAAAATAATATACCAGGAATGTTGTTAATTATAGATTTTGAAAAGGCTTTCGACTCAGTGTCCTGGAAATTTATTGAAAAAGTTCTTGATTATTTTAAATTTGGCAATGGCATAAAAAAATGGGTAAAAGTCTTTCATACAAACGCAAAGTCTGCAATAAATCAAGGGGGAAATTTATCATCTTTTTTCGATATTAAAAGAGGTTGCAGGCAAGGGGATCCAATAGCTCCATATATATTCATATTATGCGCTGAAATTTTAGCTGTAAGACTGAGAAATAATAAACATATAAATGGTATTAATATTGACAATTGCCCGCTTTTACTTTCCCAGTATGCTGATGACACTACATTGATTTTAGATGGCACACAAATTTCATTAAAAGAGGCAATTAAAGAATTGAAAAGTTTTGCAAATATTTCTGGACTCAAAATAAACATAGAAAAGACACATGTTATTTGGATAGGTAGTAAAAAATACAGTGATGAAATTCTTTATCCTGAATTGAATTTGCAGTGGGGGGATAGGAAATTTACACTTTTAGGTATTGAGTTTGATGTAGATTTACATAG